CTCAGCATATGCGTGTGTGTGTTTGTCTGTGTATGTTGATGTGGGTGTGTTTGTGTGTCTGTGTGTGTAATATGTATGAATTAATGAGTTTGTGTGTGCATGTGTGTCTGTGTCCTTGTGTGTGTGTTGATGTTTGTGTGTATGTGTGTCTCTGTTACCACAGTGAAACAGTTGTATGTGTGTGTATGTGTGTGTGTGTGTGTGTGTGTGTGTGTGTGTGTGTGTGTGTGTGTGTGTGTGTGTGTGTGTGTGTGTGTGTGTGTGTCTGCAATCACCCGTGTCTTGTATTTTCTTGGTCTTTGTGGATTCTTGAGGAGTACAAATTGACTAAGTTCTGGAGCTGAAAGTCCTCCTAATTGTGCTGAATATGCAAATGTTATTGAGATTAGTGCGGCCTGAATGAGGGCTTTACAGAAGCGGAGCGTGTGCAGAACGCTGGAGAGGATTTCCATGACAGAGGGAGATGCAGAGCGCCGCCGCTGTGATGCTAATGCAATTACTGCACATTGAGCTGCACGTCTGGCGGCGCCGGGGCTCCACACGGCCTCTTACATTTCATTTACATATCGAATTAGTGCAGGCACACACACAGACACACACACACACACAAACACACACAAGTGCGCAGTTGATGTCGACATCTGTGGGCTTGGAGGCAAACACAAGCGTTACCGCTGAGTAAACGCAAATCATTCACAAAGACTGAAGCACAGCAGTGTGTGAGGAGCAGCCATGCCAATCAGCAGAGCCACAAAAGAACAGACGCGCACATCTTACACACACACACACACACACACACACACACACACACTATATTACAACGATGATTCCTCTGTGTGTTCATGAACATTCTTACTCTCTCACATTTAACTGTTTAACTAGGAAGACACCAAACCTATTGTGTGTGTGTGTGTGTGTGCGCGCGCGTGTGTGTGTGTGTGTGCATGCGTGTGTGCGTGTGTGTGGTCAAATACAGAGGCTCATTTTCAGGAATAAACAGAACTCTGGTAAACACTGGACAGTCCTCCACTCCTCTTCTGTGGAGAGTCCTCGCTGTATGATCATCTCAGACGGCCCTCAGATGACTCAGACGACCCTCAGATGACTCAGACGGCCCTCAGATGACTCAGACGGCCCTCAGATGACTCAGACGGCCCTCAGATGACTCAGACGACCCTCAGATGACTCAGACGGCCCTCAGATGACTCAGACGACCCTCAGATGACTCAGGCGACCCTCAGATGACTCAGACGGCCCTCAGATGACTCAGACGGCCCTCAGATGACTCAGACGACCCTCAGATGACTCAGACGGCTCTCAGATGTTTTAGACAACTCTCAGATGACTCCGCTCTTAGATGATTCAGATGGCTTCCAGATGACTCAGACGACCGTCAGACGACTCAGACGGCTCTGAAACAGAAGAGTATTCTCTTCCATCAGCACAGGGTCTGGCTGTGTTGTCTGTGTGTGCTGTTGGCTGTGTGTCCAGTTGACTAGTATTGATGAACTCTGGGGTCATGTGTAGGTGAGTTTGTGGTTGTGCATATGATCAAGACGTGATTAAGACATGCTAGTTTGAGCTGAAGGAAGGTAATGAGCTCTGCCGGAGCGTGAGCAGGACATGAGGATGTGGAGCTCTGTGGCTCTGTGGCCCTCAGGGCTCCTGCAGCAGTGAGTGTGGATGTTTGCATGAGGTGTGTGTGTCCTGCCGGTCCCCGCTCAGCATGGACTGATGATCTGACAGATGGTGTTGAGGGTTAATCTCTGTGAACTCTCTGTTTACCTGTCAGAGCTGCCGGCCAGATGCCGTTTTGTTTGCTTCAGGCTGCTGTTTCTCTTCTCTTTGTGCTGAACTTCTGTTCTCCCTCCGCCGTCACGCTCTCTG